ATATTCTCTGCAGAGCCTGTTGTCCAAACATTAGGTCTGAGTACTGTCACTAAGCTTTGGCAAAAATGGGGTAGGTAAGAAAAATGAATTCATGGCATGTTGCAAATGTAGGCAACATCATCAGTAACTTCTTCCCAATCATTCAAACAAATGTACCTAAAGGACAAGGAAAAAGAACCTAGAAAAAGTGTATCAATCAACCTCATCATTCAGAATTGGCAACTCAGAAGCATCTATTTCCATTTTCCACTAACCACATTTTGTTTCTACATCTGAATGCATAACTGTGGCTATTCTGAGCTAAAATTTATTTGAACAAAATATAGTTTACAGTTAGTTAATTTTAACTGCAGTTAAGATTAGGTGTTTAACTGTAGTTAAAATTAAAGGTTATTAAGGGAAACACACAACAAACTGTGTCTCCAGCCTCCATTTTATAGCTGCAGAAGAGGACATGAGGGGTGGAGTGAGTGTAGGAACCTAAGACTCACTCATATGATGTTACATACAAATACAGTCACTGTATTCCTGTGTGGATTAATTACTGCTTCACTTTACTCCCTTCAGTATGGTAAGATGGTGGCATGGTTTCCACCAAATTTAGCTCTGCAGTTTCACTCACTGTAGCTGTCCCCTCTCACCTGTGTGAGCAGACCTTGCTCTGACAGATCTCAGTTTGACTCTCATTATTTTCTTCCAAGGTTACAGAGACAGGATCCATCCCTATATGGAAAGAAACACAAACCATTATTCATTTATTTGTTTATAATCCTCAGAGTTATGGCTTAAACCAGCAAGTTCATGGGAATTCCTCAAAAAGCATCTTGGAAGGTACCAGTGGTGCTCCTTGCTTCCCTCAGGCTGCAACACACTTCCTATGAGAATAACTACCTGTTGAAGGTTATGGGAGAAAACTGCAGCTCATCCAATCAATTCCTGCTTTGGCTCAGTCTTTTCCTGAAAGAAGAACTATGATCTTCCTTATGAAGGGGAAATACAAGCTGAAGGAATGGGATTGCAGGTCAAGTTTGATAAGCAAACTGTCAAGGATAATCTAGTTGTGCTGAACAAGTTCAAATCTCCAGAGCCCAATGAACTCCATCCTAGAGTCATAAAGGAACTGGTGGAAGAACTCTCAGATCCACTGTCTGTTATCTTTGAGAAAACATGGAGGACAGGGGAAATGCCAGATGACTGGAAAAGGACTAATGTTTTCCCCATTTCAAGAAAAGAAAAGAAAAGAAAAGAAAAGAAAAGAAGAAGAACCAGGCAACCACAGAACAGTCTGTCTGAAGTAAGTCCCTAGGAATATTCTGGTGCAGATTATAAAGCAGTCAGTCTGCAACACCTTGAAAACTAGAAGCCAACATGGATTTGGTTTTAACAAATCCTGCCAGAGTAATCAGATTCCTTCCTTCCTCTTTTTGGACTGGGTAATCTCTTTGATGGACTATGGAAATGCTATGGACATAATATATCTTGACATTAGCAATTTAGTAAAATTTCTTGACAAAGTGCCTCATAATATCCTGATTAGCAAACTAGTAAAAACTGGACTAGATGGAAGAGCTAATAGGTGGATCCATAATTGGCTACAGAAATGGACTCAAAGAATGTCATCAGTGGCACCTTCTTATACTGGGGAGGGGTAACAAGTGGCATGCCATAGGGTTCAGTCCTGGGCCCAGTGCTCTTCAACATTTCTATTAAATAATAATACAAATTTATTAATATTTTCAATGTGGAAGTGCAGGGAATGATTATAAGATGTGCAGATGACAAAACTGGGTGGGATAGCTAATATCCTAGAGGACAAAAATAAGATTCAAGGTGATCTTGAGAAGTTAGAACACTGGGATGACAACAATAGAATGAAATTCCATAGGGAGAAGTGCCAAGTTCTGCACCTAGGGGGAAAAAGCCACTGCAGTGCTACAAGACGGGGAATACTTGGCTCAGTAATACTGCAAGTAAGAAGGATCTTCGAATTGTTGCAGATCACAAGCTGAATATGAGTCAACAATGTGATGTAGCTGCAAAACGGGCAAATGCTATTTTAGGCTGCATTAATAGAACTATCACTTCCAAATCCCATGAAATACTAATTCCCTGATCAGACCTCATCTGGAGTACTGTGTTCCATTCTGGGCACCACTGCTTAAGAAAGATGCAGACAAGCTAGAAAGGATTCAGAGAAGGGCAGCAAGGATGATCCAGGAACTGGAAACAAAGCCCTATGAGGAGAGATTGAAGGAGCTGGGAATGCCAGGCAACAGCAAGCGGTTGGACCCGATGCCCTTCCTGGCCCCAACTCTACTATTCTATGATTCTATGTTTAGCCCAGAGAAGAGGAGAGATACGATAATACTCTGTAAGCACTTGAGGGGCAGTCACAAAGAGGAAGGCTGGGATATTTTCTCGATCATCCCAGAGTGCAGGACACAGAATAATGGACTCAGGTTGCAGGAAAACAATTTTTGACTAGACATCAGGAAAAATTTCCTGACTATTAGTGCTGTACGATAATGGAACCAATTACCTAGGAGGCTAGGGCTCTCTCACACTAGAGGCATTCAAGATGCAACTGGACAGTCATCTGAGATGGATAATTTAACTTGGTGTCCTGCACTAGCAGCAGGTTGGACATATACCAAGGTACCAGGTACCTGATGGGCAAACCAGGCTTTTGAGGGAGCCAGAATTACATCTGTCTCAGATCAAAATGATGTAGCTTCTGCAGAGAACTATATTTTTGTGCCTGCAAGTGGCTCCAGATGATAATTAAACAAAGATACAGCAGCAGTTTGTGTGACCTTGATCCCCAAAGCTCATTTCCTAATATACAATTTCAGCTTTTAGTAACTTTATTCCCTCTGTGTCTCATATGCTGGCACAGATTTACTGCAGCCACTGTGGTGGCTTCCTATGAAAAAAGACAGTCTTATCACAGCTGTGCCACCTCTAATGAATGAAGATAGGGGTTTCCTGCAAAGAAGGAATATTACGGTAACTGTCAGTCCAGGGCAAAGACATGGACAGCCAAAGGCAAAGCAAGACAAGAGCAAGGGAGCAGAGGCGGCTGGTGCTGGAGGTCAGACTAGATGGCCCAGGAGACCCTTTCTTACTCGCTCTGTTTCTATGTTTCTAACTAAAGGCAAGACAGAGTCCAAAGACAGGGTTTAACATGAAGTCCAGTTCATAGTCATGGTACAGGTTGAGGTCAGGAACCAGAAGAATGCATAAGGGTAGAACAAGGATGTGGTCAGGGACAAGTCAAGGGCTGAAAACCAGAAGGACAAACAGAGGTGCAGGTACCTTGGTAGGAGACACAGCATGGCAGGATACATGAGACAACAGCAACCAGATGCAGCTTGGGTCAGGCAAGATACAGGAGCTGAAACACAGCTTGCAGGAAGCCCTGCAATACTGAGGCAACATGGCAAGGCAGGTCAGAAAAGAGGCAGACACAACAGCAAGGTAACATGGAAAGGCAGGAACCAGGAGCAAGAGCCATTGGGCAGGATGCAGGCACAGCAGCAAACAGGAAAATATGTGTTGCTGAGGTGACATGGCAGGGCAGAAGACATGGATAGATGCAGCAGACATGGCAGGAACAAGGAGCAGGAACAGTCAGGCAGAATGCAGGCACAGCAGCAAACAGGAGGACCTGTGCTGCCGAGGTAACACAGCAAGGCAGGAGACAGAGCAAGGAAGCAGGAGAACCTGTGTTGCTGAGGCCAGTTCTGGAGGGAAGCTCCTCCTACATAGCTCTTTCTGCAGGGCTCCCAGATGGCACTTGCCAGTAAAATGAGAAGTCCAGGAGGCCTTAGGACTGATTCTGCAAGCCTAGCTCCTGACAGTAATGCACACATGTTCAAAGAAAGAAAATATAAACACTTTATATTTTAAAAATATATGTTTTAGAAAATAATCATTAGATAAAATTAGATTAATTGGGTTAGATAGGAAGCATAGAAAATGTTAAAGGTAAATTATTTTCATATATACTTATTTTCACTCATGTTTATAACGAATTTGAAAAAACTATGCTCAACTGTCCCAGCTATAATTTCTCATCTGAAATAAAATAGACTCAGAGGGTGTAGAAAGTGGAAATGATTTAGGAACTAGGGAAAAATGTGAATAGTGCTGAATGTGGTTAATTGAAAATAATCTTACATGACAAAACAAATTATTTTACCATCTGGGTGCCACATATTTTAGTACATGATAAATGCAAAGAGATTTTAATTTCATGTTAACACCAGAGGCATCATTTCAGAAAACACCAGGACAAGCACAACTGGGCAAACTCCCAGAATCTTCCCATTATCAGTGCTGTGTTTTATAGTGATTTATCACACACATTTTGTGAAAGGTTGTTAATTGCAACCTTGATGACATATCCTGCAAAGCACTGGACAGAACTGAAACATGCAGTGGAATATGCCAGATCAAATGATTCTTTTTCACTATAGAAGACCTGACACCACAGTAACTTGATTTTAGTAGGGATCTTCTGAAAAAAGCAGGTTGCTTACCTGTAACTGATGTTCTTCAAGTGGCCAACTGTGCATTCACACATATGGGTGCTGTGCCTGCACAGTGCCTAGGCTGGAAAGATTGAAAGCTAATGGTTTTTGGCGGGAAAAACTCCGCTCCCCTCCCCCTCCACAGTATATATAGAGCAGAGTGTCCGCCATTTTGTTCAGTCTTGGAAGACCGATCGTTTGCCCCCTTAAGGGAGAGAAAACCATTACAGCAAGTATCATGGGTACCATGGATATAAGAATATGGTACCAATGAAGAGATCCACTCACCGACACCGAGCGGGGCCGGCGGGTGGGTTGTGTGAATGCACAGATGGCCACTCGAAGAACATCAGTTACAGGTAAGCAACCTGCTTTTCTTTGTCGTGGTCTCTGTGCATCACACATATGGGTGAGTAGCAAGCTTACCAAAGTTGGTGGAGGGCGGTGTCATCATTGAAGAACAGCAGAGAGAACGGCCCTCCCGAAGGAACAGTCTCTTCTGGCACGCACATCAAGACGGTAGTGCTTGGTGAAAGTACACGGAGTAGACCAAGTCGCAGCTTTGCAGACCTCTTGGATCAGGATTCCCGCGGCAAATGCAGAGGAAGCTGCTACTGCCCTAGTAGAGTGACCCCTCGGGAAAACAGGTAAGTCAATCTTCGCAAGTTGGTACGCCAATACGATGGTTTGAACTATCCATTTCGATACTCTCTGAGATGACAGGTAATCCTTGGTCTTGTTCAGAATACTTCACAAATAGTCTATTGGAACGCCAAAGAGACTCTGGGCGCGATCTGTAAAAGGCCAAGCATCGTCGCACATCTAGAGTATGCAAGGATCTTTCGATCGGGTTCGATGGTGACAGGAAGAAGGCAGGTAAGACAATCTCTTGATTCAGGTGGAATGGTGTGGCCACCTTGGGCAAAAATGTAGAATCCATTCTCAAAACCACCTTCTCCTTATGAAAGTTAAGATAAGGTGGGTCTATTCGAAGAGCACAAAGTTCACTGGCTCTGCAAGCTGATGTAACTGCAACAAGAAAAGCCATTTTCCATGACACAAGACGTAAATCAACAGTCGCTAAGGGTTCGAATGGAGATTTTGTAAGTGCTTGAAGAACAACTGAAAGGCTCCATGTAGGCATGACTGGTCGAACAGAAGGGTGAAGATTTTGCAGTCCTTTAAGAAACCTCTTTACAAGAGGTTGTGAAAACACCAACGATCCCTGTATCATACCACAGTAATGTGATACAGCTGCTGCATAAACTTTAATGGATGAAGGTTTAAGTCCCGAGCAATATAACTGTAAGAGAAACTGAAGGATATTTTCTACTGAGGCTGTCGCTGGAAAAAATGAACGTGATTCTGCAAAAGATAAGAAGCGACACCAATTCGCTGCGTAAGACTTTTGTGTTATTGGTCTTAGCACAGACTCGATAATCCTTTGAACATCTGGGTCTACACAGCTCGGTCCCGATGATACATCTATCGGTACTGAGGAATTAAGGAAGTCAACGGGCTCGTGAGTTGAAGTACCGAGTGACCTAGTAGGCCTTGGGACTGAAGCAGTATTGTTAGTCAATGAACTCGCCACGCTGTGAGGTTCAACGAGGGCAGGTCCAGGTGATGGACAGCACTGCCTTGTTGAGTTATGAGATCAGATCTTGCCGGGAGGCGAAGAAAGGTGTTGTCCGAAATCCGAAGGAGGGTGGAGAACCACGCTTGACGAGGACACCAAGGTGTTATCAGTATTCCTGCGGCACCATCATGTACGACCTTTGAGAAGACTTTCGTTAGTAGCGGAATAGGCGGAAATGCATAAATTCTGATATTTGTCCAAGGGATCATAAGGGCATCTCCCATCCATCCCGGTCCTATTCCCGCCCTGGAACAGAATGTGTTGCATACCCTCTTCTTGTGGGTAGCAAACAGGTCTATGTTCAAATGTCCCCAAAGTTGAAAGAGCTGGCTGCAGACCTGGCGGTTTAATTCCCACTCATGGGTCATCGACATATGCCTGCTCAGAATGTCAGCTTCTTCGTTGTTGGTCCCGGCAAGATGGACTGCTAAAAGAGTTATACCCCTCCGGATGCACCATTCCTAAATGTCCATGGACAGACGAGCTAAGGCAACGGATTTTGTTCCGCCCTGCTTGTTTATATAAAACACCGCAACTATGCTGTCGGATGTGATCTGGACAACTTGTTGACGAACAGTGTCCTCAAAAGATCGAAGTGCTTTGAAAATTGCTAAGAGTTTGAGGTAGATGATGTGTCTCGATGACTCCTGTCCACATGACCTGGGACCGAAGTCCCGTGCATACCGCACCCCACCCGATCAACAAGGCATAGGTATACAGAGTCAGCGTTGGGTGGGGGGCCTGAAACGGGGTACCCACATCTAAATTGGTACAGATAGTCCACCAAGTTAATGTCTGTAGAACAGCTCGGGGTACTCGGATTGGTTTGTCAGAGAAATCTCGTTGCGGACGGAAGTTTTTGTTGAACCAGAGTTGAAGAGGACGTAACCGCAGTCTGGTGTGTGGGAGAATGGCAACGGATGCAGCCATGTGGCCCAAAAGTCTCTGAATTGAGAGCGCTGGGACGACTTTGTCCTGTAGGATCTGAGAAATACAGGAGAGGAGGCTGTCGTGACGAGCTGGAGGGAGGAAAGCTTTCGCTACTGTGGAATTGAGACAAGCTCTGATGAAGTCTATCACCTGTATAGGAACAAGAGACGATTTTTCACGGTTAATGCATAGTCCTAAATCGTCCAATAACGCACAAGTCACCTTGACAGCCGACAGAAAACTATCACAGGTCTGTCAGACTATCAGCCAGTCATCCAGGTAAGGGTACACCTGGGTGCCCTGGAGCCATAGGTGTGTGCACACTGGGGCCATACATTTCGTGAAGACCCTTGGAGCGGTAGCTAAGCCAAACAGGAGGACATTGAATTCGTATAAGTCAGTCCTGATGGTGAAACGTAGAAGACGTCTATGACACGGATGGATCAAAATGTGGAAGTAAGCATCTTTCAGATCCAATGAGGTAAACCAATCCTCTCTCCTCAGCAGCGGCAAGATATTTTGAAGGGTAGTCATCCGAAATTTCTTTGGTTTGATAAATTTGTTGATATTTTGGAGGTCCAAGATTGGACGAAGACCACCATCCCGTTTAGGGACCATAAAATATCTAGAATAGAATCCGTGAAGCCCCTCGGAATTGAAGAGTCGTTGAATCGTGCCCTTACGAAGCAGTTGATGTACTTCGTCCACTAATATCGGGGATCGCGGTGTAAAGCGATTCAGGCTCGACGGCAGGACGGTTTCGAATTCTATTCTGTATCCGAGCTGGATGATGGATAAGACCTACCGATCAGATGTGATGGACTCCCAGATGGGGAATCGGTCTTGCAGCCGTTCCCCAGAAGGGAGAGGGAAAGGTGGGTATTGAGGTGGAGGAGAGGTTCACCCATCCCATCAGCGTTGACACTTTTCATTTTCAAAGCGACAACGACCCTGTTGAAAACACTGGTGGGGTTGTTGCCTTCTGCATTGTTGCTGCTGCTGGTATTGTCTCTGCGGAGGTTGGTACTGGTAAGATGGACGCAACCAAGCCCACTTACGTTTTTGCTGTCCTGGCAGTACCATCCTTCTTGCCGTCATGCGGGACTCATGTATGGCTTTGAGTTTATGGTCCATTCAAGAATGGAAAAGACTGGAGCCATCAAAGGGCATTTCTTCTATGCGCCTTTTCATCTCATCAGGAAAGTTACAATTCCTCAGCCAGGCGTGCCTCCGCAGCGAAATGGCCCCGACTAGAGCTCTCAAATCTGTATCCACATGGTGGCAAGCTGTGGACAATTGTTGGATGGCCATCTGCATACCCTCTTTGATGAAGGTCCTAGCCACATCCCATTGTTCTGGCAGGGAGGCAACGACGTTGTTTAGCCTTTGCATAATAAAAAACTGATACCTGGCCAAGGTGGCTTCGTAATTGGACATACGAAGGCCGAGTCCAGCGGCCGTGTAGACCCGGCGTGCCAAGGTATCAATTTTGCGCCCTTCTTTATCCCGGGGGGTGGTATGTCCCCTGGATTCTCTGCCTTGAGATGATTCCATGACTATGGAATTTGGCTTGGGGTGGTGGAGCAAAAAGGGTATGTCGCCCTCCCGGACGCGATACATAGACTCATATCTTCATATGGTGGGCTGTGTCTGCGAGGGTAGGTCCCACGGCTGAGTCACTGCCTGCCGCAGCATTGTAATTAGCAGCAGGACGATTGCAGGTGACTGCTCTCACCTGACAATGTCATAGAACTTGTTAGTGCTCAGATCTGGCTGGTGTTGTGCCTCGATCTCAAGCGACCGAACAAGTCTAGACATCAGCTCTTCGAAAGAGATGTGGGGCCCATCTGGTGATGCTGGGCCCTGAGATGTTATCGCCATATCAGGGGAGGTGGAGTCCGCCTCGGAGTCAGGCCCGAGATGGTACAGGTCTGAGGAAGAACTCCCCAGTGAGGTGGGACGTTCAGGTTCTGCATGTCTTGAGGTGGACGGCATATCCTCGTGGGCGGAAGGCAGTGAACCATCTCTTCGATGGGTATGAAATCCAAGGGAGTGGTAATCACCCCAGCTGGATGGATAATCATAATACAGCCGGAACCATCCCTCCGCATGTCTTTCATCCATACGGGATCAAGGTGGTGGTGGAGAGGCAGAAGATGGATCCCGAGCTCTAGTCGGAGGCATTGAAGTCAGTGATCGAGTCATGGGAGGGGAGTCTTGAATCTCTCCATCCGTTGAGATGGAGCAGGTTGTACTGGAGATCCTGGTGGGGTAAACTGCATTGCCGCCTGTAGCATTGGTAACAATGGTGTTGGTACTGATGCCGCCATCGGGATCGATGGAGCTGATGAACCTGAATCCCGATGCCTCTTAGGCTTATGAGCCATTTTGGCCGCTTTATTTTTCTTCGCCTTTTTGTGGGAAGACGAGTGATCCGACCCTCCATGCTTCCTCTTTTCCTGCTGTTTATGCGGAGGAGAGGGGGATTGTTGGGCCCTGGAGGGTGAATTTCCATCATCCGATGGGTGCGGCTGAGGCATGGGCGGCATGGTCGTAGGGCGTTGGCCAGGCGTGGCTGAAGCAGTAGCCGATTGCTGGCCGGATGCAGTCGAGGCAGAAGCTGGGCGCTTGGCAGATGGAGCACGAGCAGGTCCAGGCTTTGTAGTGGGCTGGTCCGACTGCATCAGCACTTGATCCCATAGGAGTTTTCGCAAGCGATTCTCCCTATTCTTGTGGGCCTGCTTGGTAAAAGCAAGGCAATGGTAGCACTTATCTGTCCTGTGCCCCTCGCCGAGGCGGTACAAATCATGAGGGTCTGCCGGGAACATTTTGGACCCACATTCCGCACATTTGCGGAAAGCCGCCTGCTGCGCCATCGTAGAAAGAGAAGAAACAGGATAGTAAAGAGGGATAAGATAATATTTTGTTTTTGTTGTTGTTGTTTTTTTTTTTAGTAAAGATGAAGAAAAAAGGGAGAAGAAATAACAAAGAAGTAATAACTTGGAGTAACAGTAACGAAGAGCAACAAGAACAATAAGAATAAAATAGCAAATACTGAGGTCAAAGATGAACAGGCACAAGGCACAGTGAACAGTGGTCGCAAAGACTGAACAAAATGGCGGACACTCCGCTGTATATATACTGTGGAGGGGGAGAGGAGGGGAGTTTTTCCCACCAAAAACCGTTAGCTTTCAATCTTTCCGGCCTAGGCACTGCGCAGGTGCAGCACCCATATGCGTGATACACAGAGGCCACAACGAAGAATATAACAGATTTTAACACAATGGGATAATTTGATATGATATGATAACATATTATATGACTACTAAGACATTTTAACATTGTTCTAGACAGGAGCACATAATTCTTTGGAAACTGCAATGTTAGTTAAAATACAACTTTTTATATTTGATAATATTTTCTTGGCACAGTTGTACATTTTGTGTATCTCTCTATGTATTAAATTTGGGGGATTGCTGATTAAGAATTATTACATTTTATTTATTATTATATCCTACCTTTTTTCCTTTCAAGGAAATCAAGGTAGCCTATATAAGGAATGAATGTCTAGGTTTCCCCTCTTAACCAAAGTGGTTACTGAACCTGAAAGATAGCATGGGATTTTAGGGTTGGTGGGAATATGCAGGTTGCATACCTGTAACTGTAGTTCTTTGAGTGGTCACCTGTTAATTCACACAGATGGGTGCTGTACCTGTGCAGTGCCTGTTTGGGAAAATTTTTCTAGCTTAGTGTAGAACTTTCCACAGATCCTGCCCCTTATAGAAAAGGTGGGCTCCTGCAGTTTTGTCAGTTCTACTTGAGACCGATGTTTACAATGAGTGTGTTTGGTCTGCTAGCTTCCTAATTATTAAATCAAAAAACAGCAATCTACTCTGTATGTGTAATCACCAACACCAACGTGAGGCTAGTGGGTGGGTTGTGTGAATGCACAGATGACCACTTGAAGAACAACAGTTACAGGTATGCAACCTGCATTTCTTTGTCATGGTCTCTGTACATCACACATATTGGTGACTAGTAAGCATCTCTCACTGGTGGTGGGAGGTGTCGTTTAGGAATATAGTTAGCATACATGTCATCCTGCTGAATTGGTACCAATCTGTCAGCCAATACACATGATTAACATCAGTATAAACACAGATTTCACACACACACACACACACACACACACACACACACATCTGGAACTCTATAAATATTGTCCATTAATTGTCCTCTTTTGTTGAGTTCATAAACCTTTAAAGGAATAATATATGGATGTCCCAGTTATTGCAGCATGGAGGACAGTACTGCTCTTCAATAGGACCAGTTTTTCCTTGCTCTAATGTCCAGTTTGTAATGTCTGATAAAGGTTGACGTTGTTGACCATGTTGCTGCTTTGCACAGTTCTTCAATCGGGAGTCCTGCATGGAGGGCAGCAGAAGTGCATATAGCCCTTGTAGAATGTGCTTCCAGACTGTCTGATAGGTCTAAAGAGGAAAGTTTATATGCCAGTTTGATGATCCCAACGATCCAATGGGCTAATCACTGAGGTCCGACAGAGTCCCCTTTTGAGTGGTCCACATATTTCATGAAGAGATGTTTCATCTTGCAAATGTTCTCTGTTCAGGACTGATAGAATGACAGTGCTTGGCTGGATGTGCAGAGCCCTCTCAATGTCAGTTGAGGGGGAAGGGAAGAAGGCTGGTAGGACTATCCTCTGGTTAATCTGAAAGGATGAAGAGACCTTAGGTAGAAATGACAGGTCAGTTCATAAAACAACTTCATCCCTATGAAATGTTAGATGCGGAGGGTCCACCCATAGTGTGCAGACTTCACTTGCCCTCTGCTCCAAGGTGATGGTCACTGGGAAGGAGACCTTCCAAGACAGCAGTCAGAGATCAACAGTAGCTAGAGGTTCAAACGGAGGCTTCATTAGCGTGTGTAACACCATGGAGATGCTTCAGGGTAGAACTACAGGAAGGATTGGAGGATGCAGGTTCTTCAGTCCTTTCATAAATTGACTAGATAGGGAGTGAGAGAAGACAGTATGTCCCTCAATTGGACTGTGGAAGGCAGATATCGCTAACAAATATACCCTTACTAATGTGGGATTTAGTCCAGCGACATGCAATGAGTGCAAGAATTGC